GTTGCCGATCATTTGAATATTTCAGGCAATATCAATTTCAATAAAAAGCCATTTATCGCACCACATAAGCAGCAGCCTCGGGATTTTCCCCTCTACCGCAGCTCAATGTGTGTATCCTTAAAGGATGTAACATAGCTGCTCAGAGGGAGGTTAAGGCGCATAAGCATAATTTTATAGCTTTCCGGCACTCCACCGTGCTCCCCCGTGCTCCACCGAGCTTATTTATGATGTTTCGCACAAGCTAGCAAAGTATCTTAAAGATGCAGATGGCGGTGAGTGTGTGGCTGCGGCCGAGAAGTCTCACCAGAAATACCTAAAATAATGCAAAAAGCTTTTAGCATGCATTATTGATGGCGGCCTGTGGCTCGGCCTGGTTCTCTCCCACTCCGCCATTTTGGTCTTTTTCAGAAAGTGCTACACTCTGACCTTTGCTAGTGATTTGGATTATTTAGACACCATTACCTCAAGACTTGCTCGTAACCAATCAAAACTTATGCACAAGGAAGCTGTTCGGCTACATTGTCGCGTAGTTTACAAAGTACATGTTGTTTGTTAAAACTAAAAAATAAATTCCAGAGGGGATTAAGAAATACATTTAAATACTAGTGTCTCAGTAGAAAATGGGTTACTATCCAGCAGCCTATGGATCCTACTCCGCCATTCGTTGGTAACATTCGCGTGGCCAAGTGTCGTGACAAAAGCCCAACTCCCATTCGGGCTAATATGGCTGTTATGAAACTGCATTAGGGCGTGCATGGCCGAAAAGTAATTGGCGCCTGCTGCGACGTAGTTCCCAAAAAATAACGAGAATTAACATGCGAAGGTTATTAATCATATGGCGCTAAGAGCCCTGGCGGAAGGGAGCGGAGCACTTTGGTCGCGGGAAGGAAAGGGAAGGGATCCGAGCGGAGCGGAGCGGATCCGCACCCTGGACGCTCGTTTGTCTTGTTAATGAAAAAAGCCAAGGCGCCAGCTTATCAGCCACAAGGCAAGCGACACAATAAACACAAAAAGACACAGACGTTGGCCCAGACCAAGACCCAGACCAAGACGAAGACGAAGATGTTGACAAAACGAAACGGAGCAGCAGAAACTTGGATCACCCGGCGGCCTCATAAGTGTGCCCCTCAGGTGGAATAGTGGACTCGAAGTGACTGATCCGATCCCATTCTATACGATCCATCCGATTGGATGCCCCTCCTCCGCGAATATACACACAAGTATGGATATGGATATGCGGCCCGCGGATGGCCAGCATTCGACTGGCTAATTAAAAGCTGACCATGTCAGTTGGACTCAAATGTGAAGTGCGGTATGCGGCGATAAATAAGCCGGCGAGGACAGAAAACTCACTCGCTGAGCCCTGCGACCGCCCAATGCGTAATTAATTCCTTTTCGAGCCCAGCGCGAAATTAAAAAGTCATGTAAACCAGCTCATTAAAATAACTAAAATGAAGAAAAAGGGCAAACAGCTAACCAGAACCACTAGGCGGATGTCGGCCATAAAAGCCCATCAGATTGCCGGACTGAGGAAGAGCAGCTCCTAAGCAGCTTTTCCACATCACATGGCCGAAAAAGGCCCGAATGTTATGAGTTATAGGATCCGAATCCTATCGGGACCCCGTTCCATTGCAGATCCCTCGGCTGGCGAGGCGTAATAAAATCAACGCCGTCTCATTATTTCAAAGGGCTCGCGCTGTGCCCATCGCTTGTAGCTACAAGTGAAGCTCATAATGTAAACAAATTAACGAAAGGGAGCCAGAGGACCCAGCTGCACATGAAGATGCGGATTCAGATGGAATACAGATACAGATTCGGATACGGATTCGGAGGCCCAGCGACAGATACAGATACAAATACAGCTGCGCATGGGCATGCAAATAAGAGGCGCATCTCATTCCTGCGTCGCTTCTGGGCGGCGGCTCAGCGTTAAGTTTTTAACTTAAGCTGCGATTGCGCATTTGAAGGCAAACATGTTTTTATACTTTAGCATCCCAAGCTCCCGTGAGTAGCGTACACAGAGGGAAAATTCGTATTGTCAGTTTTGTGATAATGTTCTAGTCTTCTTCTAGACTATCAGAACTTTTTTCTTACAAATTTAAACGTTCATTAATACATTCCTATTTCCAAAAAAAATGCACCTCATTGACAAAATTTAAAATAATATAGAAAAATATGCATTGCCATTAAATCATTGAAAAGTGAATTGAGTGCATCCAATAAATAATATATAATAGTAAATATACTGTTTTTTTATTGAAGTGCCACAGTTTCTCGCGGTGCACGAATGTGTTGGCCAACAATGACATGCCGATAGGCATGTTGCCTTAAAAGTCTTCTCTGATCGTGCTTATTTGGGGAACAGTAGCAATTGCCACCGCGGGTCATTGGAGCATCGCTCCCCCGAGAGATTTTGGCGAACATGGCCATCCCGACATGGGGCCCTGAATGGGTTGGATTTGCCCCAGGCTCCTGACTTCACTGCTCTTCACTCACCTGCCAGCCGATCCTTGACCGCCTGATGGGCCAGCGCCGCGTGATGCAGTGGCGGTAGTGCCCAGGTGAGCGGCGTTCGCTGGGGCGGCACACGCAGCACATGACCGCCGGCCGCCGAGGGATAGAGATGCGGATACGAGTACAGTGCTGCGGCGCTTCCGTACGTCGAGTTGGCGATGCTGGTGGCCAGTTTATAGGCGGCCAGATCGTGGTCCTCCTGCTGCAGTAGCTCCTTCTCCTCGCCCTTTTCGCCGCTGTTGTTGTTGTTGCTGCTGGAGCCGGGACTGCTGCTGAGCAGGTGGTTGTTGTTGTGGTGGTGGTGACTCGTCTCGAAGGGCTTGGATAGCAGGCGTGATATGCTGAAGGGCAGATTCTCACTGGACGAGGAGCGCGTCTGCTCCGACTGCAGGGACTCGCTGCGGGAGAAACCGGAGAAAAGGCATCAGAATCGAAGGGAAGGAAGCCCTACAGAGGTGCGGGCTCATTAAAATGTGTCGCCTGATAAGCGGGAAAACCCGAGAACATGGACTATAATTAAGTCTGCTGCAGTGCGGACCAGTCTCGGAACCACTAACCAAAAGCCCACGCGAGCGGATAAGCCGAGTTGACGACATGACATGCAGAACCCGTGTGGCCACCACTGCGTATACGCAATGCGGCTGGAAATGAAGTAATTATGCAAATGCTGACGGCCGTTAGAGGCATTTAATACGCGCCCATAAATCATCAAATGCCATCAACTGACGCACCGAAAACAAGTCACGCACGGCATTTAATTTATAAATCCAAAAGTAAAAACCCATTTGGAACAGGAATGGAATTGTATCGTAACAATGATCTCAAATCGCCATCCAGCGACACACAGACAACATCCAAAATCAAAAGTTATGAGCGAGCACACATTATTTTGCTGGCCAAAACTTGCTGCTATCTGGTGCTCTACATTCGCTGGAACGCGGGTTTTATAGCATTTTTATGACGATCTCTATTAAAATGTTAATCCGGCAAACGATTTCGTCTTTGTCCGGCATGCAAGCCGAAGATCCAACTCCAGATTGAACCCCAAATGGACCCAAAGCCATATCACAGCGCGTTTTTGGCGCCTTACTAATGTGCGTTTTATCGTCGCCGTCTATTGGAAACCCTGTCCATCCGTGCACTATGTAAATTCAGGGAGTATCTTCGGCACTTTATGGGGCATTTCGACTTGATTCTTTTGGTGGCATTGTGGTCAATTCATTAGCGTTTAAGAGGTTTGTTCACACCGTTCTTCTAAGCGCCCAAACGCTCGAATGGGAGCAGTTAGCGCGGCCTGCTCCGCGCTCTGGCAGCTTGTTATCCCCTTTTGTCGCTGGAAAATGGGGCCTTTTGTAAGACGGGACAATGGGCTTACAGATCAGCGCATTTCAAAGGCGCTCAACGCGACGACTCGAACAATTGGATTTGTGAGCATTATGAGTGAATATAGCAAAGATCGTGAAACAGTGGGAGTTATGAGCTCATAATAACAAATGCAAATAGCTTTTCTCCGCTACAATACTTGTTTGACTTTTATCGGGCAATAAAATGACACCGCAGGTCAACTGCTTTAACTATAGTATATCACTCTAGTGACTTACCAGTTAATATGCGAATATTTAACGAATTATGTGGTCGATTAAAGGCATAACTTAACTCGATTAACACATAACTTACAAATACCAATTTTTATAACGGAGAGGCAAACTGAGCTGTTCCTTTAATATTTTACGATTTTCCGTAATGAATTGCAGTAGAGCAATTATTTTGCTGGGTTCATCGTATGATTGGAAAGTACAGTCATTATAATTATTAATAGAGATACAATCTCGTTTAAATACACTACATTTTTTACGATGCAATTAAATCAAAAATAGTTTTGATTGCCTGGTTTAATGACCTTTAAGTGCTTTATCCTGTCGATTAGACGAAGTAATTTCAGAGGTTATTATGATTTGAAAAATATTCACCAATCGGATTATTTCAAAACCTCTTCAAATCTAAGTAAAAAGTACGTTAACTTCAGTATACTATATAGTATCTTATAGCATTTGTTTAACGTATGTTTATATTTGGTATTTTTTGAACGAGTGTTATTGAAAATGTAAGATGATATATAGCTATGATATATTTAGAAAATGTGAGTCTGTGTCATCGGGTACTTTCAAAGACATTCTCCCACTTTCCGGACATATCTAAACTCCCTCCTCACCTCAATGGCGTTTCGGACTCATCGTAGCAGCTGCCGCCGTCCATATCCACATCGGATCCGCTGCCACATGACATCCGCGAGTCCGAGTCCACGTCGACATGGATCTCCTGCTCCTCCACCTCTTCGCCGTGCTCGTTCTCGTGCTCGTGGTCATCCTCCTCGTGGCTGGACATTTTGGCAACTAGTGGCGCCAATTTGGAGCTCGCTCACTGCACTTTCAAAATCTTATTGGGCACTCTTTTCTCTTTATAGTTAGCAGTAGAGTGTTTAATTCGTGAGGCACACACTAAACGTTTGATTGATTTCAGTTCAGTTTCCGCGTTTAAGCACTACCCGTTGATAGCAGTTCCCACTGCGAACTGCTTTGGATTCACGGCTTACGGACTTCGGTCTACGGATTACAGATTACAGATTACGGATTACGGATGGCGGATGGAGGATGGCGAATTGCGAGCTGGGAGCGGACGCGTGCTGGCGGCCGAAAACGCTTTTCATAAATGCAATCAAATTGTGCCGACGGCCGCTGCTCTGCCTGTCCTCTGCCGGCTTGGCTGCCGCTGCCGATTGCTGGTGGATTTGGGCGGTTGGAGTGAGCCGGAAACAAGTCAAACCAGTTGCCCGACGTCGACGCCGCTGCCGACTTCCTTCCTATTTCGGTTAAGAGCCAGTTTGCCACCTTGTTTGAACCTAACCTACCATAATACCAGCAACCTGCCTCTTCTGGTTGGTCCACCCTTGCGACTTCCGTCCCGCTCTGATCGCACATGCGCCTCGCTGCCTCTCGCTCGTGGAAACAGGTTTCGCTCTGCCCGCCGATGGGCAGCACTGGTCGGTAATTGAGGCACGGGGCGTGGCCTCGGCCAACCGCCATTGGCCGCTGGCCCGGAGTTTGCCCCCCTTGAGTCCCGCTTGCAGCTGGCAGTTGCGACGACATTTTAAATGGAAAACGTTTTGCTTTTGGGGTTTTTTATTAGACGAGCGCATGAAGAGAATGTATTTTTATTTCGATTGCTTCTATTTTCAGGTTAGCCAAGCGTTTCCATGCTGTCTCACTCGCTCGCCCGCAAGTGACGCCCGCAGAGCGAGCCAGCCAGCTGACGAGCGAAAGAGATCGCATCTCTTTTGCCGCGGACTCTTTTCCGGGGAAGTGCAAATGTGGCAGATTAATAGCACAATTGGAAATAGCGTTCTGTCAGCTTGAGTTCACAAAGCAGCGGATTTGGCCAGGAGGGCAGCCCTCCTACCTCCTACCTCCTACCTCCCAATGCTGACTACTGAGATCTTTATTAGCGCCTGGAGTTCTACGCGCTATCGCCTGGCATTTGGCAGGCGGCGATTGCGATAAGCAGACTCGAGCTGAAGCCGCAGGATTCCAATCCATTTGCCCCAGCCATGCGAATGCGAATGCAAATTGCGCGGCATGCAGCGGATGCCGCAGCTCTGGCATTTTCCTCAAGTTCACCCCACGGGTTAATTGACAGTTTTCCTTGGGCACGAGCCATGTTATTGCTCATCGCTGGCCGGGATCTCGGTCTCAGTCTCAGTCTCAGGTGTTGTTCCAGCCGGCCTGGCATCCAAAGCGAGTGCCTGGGATGCGTGTGTGTGGCCAGAAGCGATTGCGTACTCCGTTTTCATTACCCGAGATAGCGTCGAGATGTGGAATGTGCCGTGAGCTACACTTGTGAACCCCTCCAGCCGGCGATGGTATGGAAATCCCAAATCCTATCTACGATTACTTGGAGAATGCCTTACTACGCATTAGCTATCGCACATAAAATAATATCTACATTGCACCAATGTAAGGTTACCTTCCCTCTACTTTCGTAGCTCGGTTACCAGTAACTTGAATTCCGCTTGCCTTATGATCAAATATTGTACCTTAGATAACTATTCCGAGATTTAAGGAAGTGATCACAGTCTTTCTAAACTGCAGAAATGTTCCTATATACGCGTATGCTAGCAATTGTATATTGTTCTGCTATGTTCAATTATCTAAATGATCTTTATCTTTAATCACAACTTGATTATTTCCAACATTCTGATAATACAGCAATTGAAACATAAATTACTTGAGAGCGGGCCGCAGTATCACACCGTTCACTTGGCATTTAAGCCGAGTAAGTAACGGCTAGAAGCAACGGCTGTAAATATTCATTTCAGCACTTAACTGGCCATGTTTCTGTGTCAGACACGCGCAAAAAATCATGGCCAAAAATGAAGAAAGGCAATTACTGCATATTCCATTGCCAAGGCACACAAGGCACACAAAGCACACGCACACCACATCCAGTGGAAAGGACTCTGGAAAAAGTCACGAGGCGAACTCCATTTCTCCTCGTACCGCCTCGCAATGACATTGTTGCTGTTGGTAGGCCTTGTAGTCGGCTAATTGGATTTCATTTGGGCAGAAACAACGCAGGAACAATTGCCGCAATAAAGGCAACAAAGACGGCAACAACTGCGCCCCTTCCACGGCAATTGTAATGCAATTTTAATGCAAAACGAGAGGCGGCCAACATTTTTATTGCATTTTTACTTTTATTTCACTTAATAGCAGGCAACAACAATAACTGCAGCGGCAGCAGCGACGAGGAATTGGTGCTTGGTATGAATACGAAATGATGAGGCCCAGACCACCACAGCGCACTCATGCAGGGCAGGAGGAGGAGGCTGCTGGTGGTTCTGGTGGTGGTGGTGGTGGTTCCGATGCCAAGATGAGAACGAGATGACGGTGGGCGATGGGCGGTGGAAAATTAGTATGCAGCAGCGCACTGCAGTCGGGTGGCAGACAAAACAGCAACAACCAGAACAGAACTTAGCCTAAGTGTATCTACACAATCACTGGGAGGATGAGTTGTGTCTCTCAGAAAATACGTGAAATTCAATTAACATTAAATCAGTTTACGGTTTGTCAACTTTCCTGTTTCTAGCGAGTTGTTCCATAATTAAAATATGATTTTTAACTTACCCCTTAATATATTTAGTTGGAGCTCCAATAAGCCCAGCTATATATGGATATGGACAGCTGTTCTTGCTGTCGCACCAGGCGATTGATACTATAACTCTTTGGGAACTATAACGTTTCAGAGTTGAAGAAACCCGGAAAATCAATGTGTTAAAAAGTGTAAACTACATTTTCCCAACTTAACCGGAATAAATGCCCCAAATCGCCTCAGTGTATGCACTGTAACTGGTGCAGCCTCCGGTTCAGTTGTTGCCACTTGACTTTATTGGCAACTTCATGGAATATTCAGCAGCAAAGTTTTGCGCAAGTGCCTCCGAATAATACCGCCCCAGGAGTCGCTCCGCCGCTCGAAATCCTGGCAGTGCTGCCTGCCTCATTTGGTATGCATTTTTATTTGGCTCATATACAAATGGCGGAGCACGGCGCGACTTTGGTTCGCTGGCGGGGCGGGGATGTGGTCCAGATTGGTGTGACAGCGGAGCTGCCGGGGGGTGGCGAGCTCTGCAGACCAAGTGTCACTTAAAATGCCAATACTGATTATGGCCAACTCTTGCGCTCCCTCTCTGGCACAAGCCAGCTGTCTCACTTCCGCTCAGGACGGCGCAGCAAGGACTTTATGTGCGGTCAGGGCTCGGCTATTATTGGTGACAGTTTTGCCTTTATGGGCATCTAAAATGCACACATGCTCGGGAAGACTTTGTATGAATACCGAAGATATCGCCGTGTACGGGTAGTGATGGTTCACAAGCTACTCAAACAGAATACATATAAACGAACACCTTTCTACCGTGACTCACAAAAAAAAGTATCTACTTTCAAACTTTTAGGTTTTTGAAATCGTATTTACAACAGCTTTCCGAACATTCTTAGTATCTCACTAAATAGAACCTTGCCATCACTGCTTTCAGTATCCCGAAATGTGGGTGGTTCATTTTGGTGATTTCCCTCAACGCAAGGAGAGTGCTTCCCTTGGTGAAATCGAACTTGAGCTCCGTTCTAGAGCAAGGCCGTCGTGATTGCTTTTTGAAACTCGATCCGTCTGTCCACACTTGACTTCGATTAGGCCAGGCTGCCCAAAATGGTCGGAGAGCCCAATGCGTGTGTTTTTGTTTTAGCCAATTGGCCACACAATTTGCCAACCAATAAATTAACGCATCAATAATTGATCAGACTTGTGGCCCGAAGTAGGTGTGGTAGTGTGTGTGGTGTCTATACTTTGTCCAACTTCATGGCGAACGGGGAGATGAGAACGGCGCCCCACGTCTCTGGTAATTTGGCTCAAACGAGCGCCTAAAATCAGCAACTGTGGTTTCTTTCTTTGTTCTTGCGGCTGTTAGAGGAGAAGATTTGTTGGAGCAAATCTTGCAGAGTAAAAGGGTGTACCCTATTCGTTGAAGCAGATAGAAGGAAGTGTTTCTGGCTCGGTAAGTACAGTATCACTAGCCGAGTCGATCTGTCCATATCCTTCTGGCCGCATAAAAGTCGAGATTTCCGGAACTAAGAGCGCTACATTGTTGATACTAAGCCTGCAGATTCCATAGAATCACGATTGTGATTCTTTCCAACTTATTTGGAAATAAAGTCGAGTAAGTGGCCTACAGCCTGCTCTCAAGTATTTGCCTAATAACACTCTAACTATTGTTAGTACTGTTATTAAGTCGAACTGGTTTATAAAAAACATGATTTTAAGTAGGAAAAGATATCGCAATACGAAATGACACTAAAATCTGTCCTAACATAAAAAGGACCACGAGCAGCTCAATTAAACGAGGTCCTTAATGTAAAAAGTTCGTTTCGTAAATTTTCCACCCAGAAACGGTATGGGGGTTCCAAAGCCCCTTTTATTGCGCTTTGACCGTAAGTGTGCTTCTAATTAATTTCGCACCCACTCCAATCCCCTGGATTGCCAAGGAGGAGCTACTGATTTTATGCAGCGCACTCTGCCACTTATGTACGCTGATGTAACCATATACAAATACATGAGCTCATGTTTGTTGCATGTATATGGGCATTTTTAATAAGTAACTGATTTCCTTCACGCATTTTCTTCTCACAGGCGCACAAAAGACTTTTCTCCTCCGTTCACCCCAGGACTTTCCCCTTTCACCAACGCGCCTCCTGGAATTCTGGCCCATTTGGTGGGTGCTGTTTTAGCCGTTTTATAAATTAAATATGCCCGTGCGCAGTTCCAGTCGAGGATTTGGGCCGCAAACGCGAATTTGGCACAGTTTTGGGTCGTGTTAAATGGGTTTTCTGCGGGGAAACTGTGGGTAATTGTGTGGGAGTTCTGATTGCGATTGTCTGGATGGGCGACACACCGTTAAGCAGTTCATTTGTAGGCAATTTTCGTATGATTACGAACAATTCCCGCACTCTCCTGCGATTAGCTCCCGAATTTATGGATACTTTGCAATGGGGAGCCATGATTTTTATTGTTTCAAGTGCCTTGTCGGGTTGGGATTGAAACTGCGGAGGGGTTGGTTTTGCAGGGGGTGAGTGATATGTGGGTCATAAATTCGGCGAGTGCGTATCCGTTGTATGCCAAAAATTAATTAGCTAACAGCACGGTGTTTGGTATGCGGTTAAATTTGTTTCCATAACAAGCAGAAACTCTCTTTTCTACAGCCCAATTCCAAAATATGTTAGTCCATTGAACTAATTTTAATAATAACAGCTCTTTTAGCTTCACATTGAGGAAAATATTCAAGTTTTACTATCGTTTCGCCACATAAAAATAATTAAATAAGACACGCTCGTAAAAGCCGAGCAAAACCGTGGTGCTGGCAACTCGGAACTTTCGTTTAGGCCATCTTGGACTCAGGCGTCCATAAAATGGCTAAACAAATGCCTCCACCGACGGCACAGATGCCGCGCAGACATTAGATATTTGAAAGCAAATTATAACACTTAAGTGGCTTTCAAATGCGGATCGAAAAGTGTCGCTCGATGTCTTTCCTGACTCTGGTTTC